ATCTGCTCTTTTCTTCCACTATTCCTCTGGATTTAGACATGGTGTTTAAAGCCTAATGCACATATAGATCTTTTTATATAGTTGTAAGAATAAAAGTTTACTTAGTTATCCTCAGCTTCTGGTGACCAAGTGAATACCATGGTTAGGGTATCTGCAGTGGAGGGGTGGTGATATTCAACAGCATTAAAATGGTGGATACAACTGGGCAATCAAAGCCCCATCCTGTTTTAAAGTGTATCATACACATGTTAACCATGCAGTTTTACTGGCGGCAGTACAGAAATGGTTTATCGTTTTATGGATGTTTTCTGTCTTCTCGGTATAATCTAAAGCCTGATAGTCATAATTGATAAAATCTTGTTTTTTAAAGTAATTATAAGATTAACAGTGCATATCTGGTCATGTCTATCCCAAAGCAAACCTTACTGAGTTGAACATAATGTACCACAAATATGAGTTTTTCAGTCTTAGGATTGCAGCCTAAGACAGTGATAGAACACCAGTAGGAAAGATATTTCAAAAGTTTTAAAGGCAATCCGTAGGGACATTTCTTAGCACTGTATTGTGCAGCTATTCTGTTTTGTCTTTTCTTTTAAGAACAAAATGAAGAGGAAGTAATGGGAGAACTTGATGATCTCATATTGACCCTTCTAGAATTCAGTGAAGGAAGTGGAGTGATTGTACAATAGGAAGAATATTTGGAAACACTCTAGTCTCAAAGTAAGAGCTTCCTTCAGAATTCTAAGGGTTAATTTAAGAGTATTTGATTAACTGCCCTGGCATTCGTATGATTTATAGTTTATACTTTATAAAGAAGCTTGGCAGCTGTTTTAAAGATATAATTTACTTGTTTTTAAAAAGGTATATGGAGAAATGATGTAAAAGGCTTTTAATTTTCCTTTTTTATCATACACAATCCTGCCACGTGATGTCCCTCTAACCTAAGTTAATGTTTAAGTGCTTTGACAACTCCCAGCAACATGTGTGCAGTACCTGATGATTATATTTACATGTCCACTTATCTTTCTTATGCAAAAGAGGTTTGCATGAAGTCATGCAATTTCTTAGCATCATTTAGACCATAAGAAAGCTGCTTATTCATTTGGGTGAGGTCTTTTTAGGCTGGTCTGCATTTCAACAATTTCAACAATGCTGACTGTCAGAATTCAAATGTAAAATATGCAGACTTTGCTTGCTTATTGGTAGTTCACCTGCAGAATATGATTACTCATCAACACTCACAGTTAAAGTACTAATACTTTAATTTGGGGTATTCAAAGAGAAAAACAGCACCTTTTTCTTTCTTCTTAAATTCTTATTTATTAGCTACAGAAATTAGAAGCACAGAGATTGCTGTCTGAATTGAATACTCACATACAGTATGTTGTAACTGAGGCCTGAAAGCAGAATGCTTAAAAGCAAAGGTGAATGTATTTATCTCAGGGAGGAATGTAATATACTTAATGAACATTAACAATGTTGTAACTTTTGGGTCTAGAGCAACTAATACATTTTAAAGCCAACAAACAAATAAATAAAATATACCAAGAACAGACCTCAGATTTAATAGCTAGACTCTCCCAACCTATACTTGGAAGAATCTATTCATTTCTATTCTATATACACTGCCTTTTGAGAGCCACTTTCCCATAATCCAGTTGACATATTGTGTGGAATGAATAAATGTCTGAGCCATCTGGTTGGGCTGATTGTAGAGGGTTTTTTTTTTTTTTGGTCTGGGTATATGACAAATGATGTAACCCTGTACCAGGAGAAAATAGCTCATGTTGCTTTTATGAGAATGATGTGTGTGCAGGAGTGCAAAAGTAATCTTTGCCTTCAAAGTAATGTCCTAAAACACAGAAAAGTGAATTCCTGGTTACATGACATTTAGTATAATGATATTTTAAAAAAATGACCACTGTATCTGTAGAAGTCACTTCCTTAACAACCATAAGAAACTGATATGTATTAAAGATATAGATAATCTAATGTTTATTTCCCTGACATCTAAAATCGACATTATTAATCTTTTGTGAGAGGGAGAACTGACTACTTCTGACTACTTCTATATCAAGAAGTTATGATTCACAAATAACAAATAGTTTATGAAACTGTTATCTGGATATACTGTAATCCCTTTTCTTTTTCTCTTTTGTATATAGTAAGGCAGTGTTTCTCAACCTTGGCATCTTTAAGATGTGTGGAATTCAACTCCCAGAATTCTGCAGTCCACACATCTTAAAATTGCCAAGGTTGAGAAACATTGCAGCAGGTGGTAGTGTATGGATTGAGCTGAAACCAGAAATTCCCAGGCCAGAGATGGCCATTATGTAAACATAAACTATCACTCAATTCAAGGCCACCAAGGTCTGCACAAAGTATCTGTTAATTCAGAAGGGAGGGAGGAAGAAGCCACGATTTAAATCTTAAGTTACATGTTCTCAGTAGTAGCTGAATCAACTGTTGTGTAGGCCTTCATTGCTGTTTACAGTAAAAAAAAAAAAAAAAATCTAATCTAGCCAAGCTGTGCCCGTGTATCTTCTGCCAAGTCTACCCGAGGAGTTGAGCTAAGCTGTGAGATGTCAGGAGATGTGTGTTTTATTGCCAGGTCCTGGTTGCAGTGACTTCACAGGTAGGAAGAAGGTACCAGTGACCACCAAGACATTCCAAATTCTACTGGATTCCTAACTTATTGATTTGACAGAAAAATTGTCCAAATCTTACAAGATCACCAAATAATTCTAAGACTGAGAATGGTGAAATTATGCAAGACCAGAAGTTTGTTGAATCCACTTTTGTGTGATATTATATCATCATGGTATCTTGAATTTGAAAAGTTATCAACCTTTTATTTCAGCATCAAGGATGCCATATTCACTCAGGGTAAGAATGACCAATTTTATATTTTCTTCTAACATAAAAGTTTGGTTGAGAGGTATAATTTTATAGGAATTATTTACCCTTGTGTTTTAAGTATTTTTTTTCTTTTGCATTAAATATTACATTGGATGGAGCAGGGGTGGGGTGAGGGGTTGGCAGATGCTTGCAGAATTTTTTCCCCTTTCCCTTATTTAAGTATATCAGTTGGAGTCAGTTGCAAAATGGGTAGTTCACGAAGAATATATATGCAAAGACCTAATGCTTAGCTGAGAAATTTATTTTTATGAAGCAGAATTCAGTTTATAGTCTTTATTTTTATACGTCTAAATTGTCTCTGAAAAGTTTTTAGTTTTAGCAACTTAATTTTTTTAAAAAGTGCAGTCAAAGGGAGAAGCTCTAATTATTTCTAATGGTGGAGTTGTCAGTCACCACAATGCTAGATTTGGAGATAGTTATAAAGAAAGCATTTGTTATGCTATTGTAACCTTATGTTTATTACAGCAGTATCTTGATCTCTTGGAAAAAACATTCAGTTAAAAATTAAGACAAATCAAGAAGAGAAAACCCTTAGTTTTCTGGCTAGAATAAAAAGCTAAATAAATGAATAAGGAGCTCCATTACAAATGAAACTCTGAATGCTTCTAGATAGCTAAATCCTACCACTGCCAATCAAATGACGTTGTACAGCTATCCCATCTTTTCATTATTATTATTATTATTATTATTGGGAAAATGTGGAAGACAAGGTGGAAAAGTGGGATGGTAGAAAGTAGAAATCATTGCCAGCAAGACTCCTGTGAAATTTCGTAAATGAGAAATATAACTGTATGAAAAAAGCCTTTCTCCGATGTGCACACCCTATCCTTCAGATAACAGATGTCTTTTACAAGATTTTTCTTAGGTAATTGTATGAATGCTGTGGCTAAATTACTTTCCATTCAGGAAGAAAAGTAGCTTTAATTTAGTACATCTGCAAATTTTGTTTTGACATGAAAATTAAGCCAGTCTGAAAAAACAAATATGAAGAAATGGGATAAAATTATCTTGAAATCCTTGAGTGACAGACTTCCATCCTCCCCAAAAAAGAATAAATAAAAATAGAAAGCACAACTATATACCAAGCAGTATAAATACCTCAGGCATTTCTTAATAGCTAGTTATTTCTTTGTTTTATAGATTAAGGAATAGATCTGCATTGCGCACAGATGTAAATAGTTACTTACTGTATTTAAATACTTTTTTCCCATTTAGAGAATGAGGCAATCAGCAAGAGATCTCCAGCTCATCCAGTCTCTGAGGAATGCTAATCAATTATAGCAGCAGAAGGCTACAAAAACCAAGCGCTAATTGGTTTCAGATGATAATGTTCTATAATTCCTCACATGTGATACAGTTGGACTTCTCTTTGCTCAGATATATTTATGGAGTGTCATTGGAATGAGTCATCAAAACACTTGATGGAATGTTATGAATAACTTTACCACAAAGGAAAGGCATATTACAACTGTGTATATTTTGCTAGAACAATGTCATTCAAATTGCATGGTCCAGCAACAAGGCTATGTCAGGCCAGCTCCATTTATTTATTTATTTATTTATTTATATACATACATACATACATACACATACATACACATACATACACACATACATACATACATACATACAGTGGTACCTCGGGATACGAACTTAATCCGTTCCGTGACTCTGGGCGTATCCCGAGTTGGTTGTAACCCGCCGCAAATTTCACCATAGGGTTCAATGTAAATCTGGTTAATCAGTTCCGCCCTCCGAATTTGGTCGCACCCCGAAGCAAATTTTCCCATAAGGTTCAATGTAAATACCATTAATCCATTCTCGCGTCCGCAGACCATGTGTCAGGGGCGGGAGAACGGCCGGGCGCGGCGCAGTGGGAAAAAGGCCGGGTGTGGCGCGGTGCGGTGCGGCATGGCGGGAGAATGGCCGGGTGCGGTGCAGCGCGGTGGGAAAAAGGCCGGGCGCGGCGCGGTGCGGTGCGGCATGGCGGGAGAATGGCCGGGTGCGGTGCAGCGCGGTGGGAAAAAGGCCGGGCGCGGCGCGGTGCGGTGCG